CGAATGCAGGACATGATCAGAGCCTCGTCGTAGAAGTCTGTTGGTTCACAGCGTGGGTACTGCTGCCCTTCGTATATTTTATAATTCGACTTCGGCGGAACCAAAATAAGCCACTCTGTTCCAATAATTACTTGAATCAAAGTCAACGCAACGGCTATCAGGAAGAAGCTAAGAGGACTGGATAAGCGTTTGTATTTTGTGAGGCTGTCGTCTTCACCGATTCTCCATGTATTGAGAACTTTAAGAAGAAGCGCAGAAAAGCAAACAGCGTATGTCAAGCCTAGGCAAAACCTCCTGATACCGCAGACAACATCCGTTGGATAGAATATGTAGGCAAAATTATGGACGTACACACCAAGTATTCCTAACAGTAAGTAGTAGCCAAGAACTGACGTTCCAGATTTAACAGGATAAAAACACAGCAAGTAAAACAGCAACATAAGGGTGACAAGTGCCCCCAGACCACTTAATATAGCGATGATCAAGCCCCAGTAGCCTTCCTTCACGCTCAGGAATCTGTCCTCGATGCCCGGTGGTGGCTGGTACTGGGGCTGGAATGTTGGATCAACAGTGGAGGTGTCACCGCCTTCACCACTAGGCCCGGTGAGACAGCTACATTTAACGTTAGGAGGACAGATAGAGGTTGTTATGCCAGAGCCGGGGCCGACGTATTTAGTCAAGTCGCCTTGGAATTCGCCTTTCCAGGTGCCGAGCTGAAATAATGAAATGAGTTACTGAGTTGCTACTTATTTCATGGCGCTGTTCATTACAAATGATTTGCTAATAAAAGCGAGAAGTGACAATTGAAATATTAATTTTGTACAAACAAAAACAATTTAAAACAATTTTTGAAACAATATTTCATCCTCTAAACGGGATTTTTTTTTATTTCACACAAACTTAGCTGGAATAAACTGATCATACTAACCTCCTGATACAGGTAGCCCTGTTGCTCCTCGTTTTTCTTAACATTAAGTACCTGGTAGCCAATATCACCATGCCTTTCAGTGAACCTAAATGTGAAATTGGATTGCCCAAGAACGTTCCACTGGGCCGTACTAATAGCGTTGAATATGGCGCCATATCTGTCCTGTTGCTGGGCCAGGCATATCGACACATCTTGTGAGGTGCCACAATCTTTAATGGTGGACATTCCCTGAGCAATCATGTAAGTAGCTATGATCGTGTGGAGCACGTAAGGATGTTGTGCGATATTTGCAGCTACCAGTCTTTCCTGTCCACTGCAAAGTCTAGTGTAATGTGGCTGAACTGATGCAGCAGAAGAATTTCTACACGAGAACGTGTGCTGCCAAAACTCATTGAACCAGTCCTCAGGGATACCTTTGGTATTTCCAGGATGAAGTTGTGCCATATACGTTTTGAATGCATCCACCGTTTGTGATCTTATACGAAAAGTTATTGCTCCTTCTGCTATGGCCTCAAACCCTTGTATGATACTCATGCTGTCTGCCCACGTGTCGCTACCTATCCAAATAAATCTACTACGGTAATTCTCCCCCAGGTCGTTGGCTGCTTTGAGAAGAAGAGCAATATGGGATGGATTTGCAAAGACCACAATGACATTGACACCGATTGCTTCTCCGATTTCTTTCACCGTCTCTCTAGCGTCCTGGTCTGTTGCGTCCTGTTTCAGCCTGTGTCTTTGTGTAACGCATATGCTGTTATTTCCAGCCTCGCGTATGAAGGCATCTACTCCTCCAGTTCCATATTCACTGTCAGTATGAACGGCAACCACATAATTCCACCCTTGTTTCTGCAAGACCTCCACCATAGCTTTGGCTTGAAGCCTATCGGGCGGCACAGTTCTCAGGAAATACTTTAAAACATTTATATCGCTTAGAGCATCGGCTGTAGCACTTTGCGAAATATAGGTAATTCTAAGGGGGTCGAAGATATCATGAACCGCCCGTGTTTCTGAGGTGCCGGTTGTTATGGCTGCTACAACAGTCGCAGGATTCATAACGTCCTGCCCTTGTACGACATTACAGATACCTTGACCACTCATTAAACTGTACAGATCAGCACGGGCACGAACGAAATTATTGCACGTGTCCAGTGCCAGTCCGCCAAATTGAATGTTTGTAGACAATTTATTGTTGTCTTTATTAATCTGCTCTATTGCGTAAAAAAATGCAAGCATGTTCTGGAAGCCGGATTCGACCTGCATAGGGCCACAAGTATAGGGAGTTGTACCCATGTCATGTAGATGAAAGACAGCTAGTAAGTTTAAGTCATAAGTCTTCGTGTTTGTCTGCATGAATCGACTTTGCTGGTTGCCGAGTAATGGACATTCACTGCATCCGTTAGTGCCACAAGAAGACTGCCAGGAGACTGTAATATCAGATCGAATCTTCAGAGAGTGGGTATCATTGTAACTCCCAATCTGAAAAAATATACAAGTTTACATTAAAGCTTGTCTTGTCAGCTTC